AAAAACATTTTTCAACTTCAGCAGCTGCTGCTTGAGAAATTTAGATAATTTGAGAGAAGTTTCCAGGCAAAAATAGGGTTATTAAAATGTTTCTTCTAGTAAAGGGCGTACGAATAGCTAGCTAAAAGCCTGACCTCACCTCTCGCCCATAGATGCTGGAGAGATAGAAGCGGCCTCACCGCAACCCTGACAGGACTATTGGGAGAAGAAGGATGGATCCTGATGTGCTGCAAATAGCTGAATTTTCTTTTTTAAAATAGTTCCAAATGTATAACACCCCCCAATGACATAAAATCTTTCCTGGAGTTATTACATCTTTTTATGCACTCTACCTTAATAAACTCTGGTTCCAGGTAAGAATATGACAAAAACTACATTATATCTCATTAAAACAAGACCCTGAGGCTAAAGGTGGAACCTAATCAGCTGCTCTTCTGAACTGACCAATTAAATGTCCTAAAATGTCTGAAGTGTTACAGCAGGAAAGTCAATCTTTACCAGGACTGGAAAACTGAAAGTCTTTGAGTTTCACCATCTGGTTTTAGAAATTCAGTTTAAGAATATCAGAAGACACAACAGAACAACAAAAGGGGTTAAAGTCTAGGGAACTAGTACCTGTGTTTTGTTGTGTGAGATGTGAGAAAAAAGAAGAGGCATCACATTCACAATCCCCCCTGTTGAGACAAAAACGAAGCAAGAGGTTAATTCCTGTCATCTATACAGTCTGATCTATTTGTGTTATTTTGGTGGAAAATAAGCTTTGACCTAACAATATTGAATATGGCCTCTTTCAATTTTTCTTTAACAACCATCATAGAGAAAGATTTAGGTGCTTCATTGAAAACCTGTTTTTTCTACCAGCTTTCTGTCATCAGTGTTTGTTAAATATAACAATAAGGAGCAGAGGCCATGTGACGCCGCCTGCGTGTGTGAGAGCAGGCAGTGGAGATCTGGCTGTTTTTATTTCAAAACAAAGAAAAAAATGGTGACTTGCTCGTCATTTAAGATCTAAAATAAGCACACTATGAAAGGTTAACATTTGTCACCAAATAGCAGCTTCTGGGGTGTATTCCCTGTAGAATAAGATCTCTTCTAACGCTGGCATTTCTAAACCTGCCAACATTTTCATACAGACACTGGTAAGCATTTTTAAATGGACACCTTTGCTGTGCAGACTCTGTTTAACAGTTAGCTTGGGTTTTTTCTTGATAAGGTTTTGTAAAGTTTGGGGGTAAAGCCCCCCTAAATGTAATAGAGATCCCTTTATCAGAGGAACTCGTCAAACAGTAAATACCCCCTAGTTGTTAAAGATAACAATAAGACGACAGCCTTTGTTTGGGGCTGACTACGACCTTTGAGAAGAAAAAATTTCATCATGATCACTGAGCGGGGAGGGGGCCTTTTTTTACCCAAATATAGGACCCCTCCCCCTCCCCCTTTCCACAGTGACGCAGGGTGCGGTAAGCCTAGCGCCATTCTCCCCGCTTTCCAAGCAAATCAATGGGAACTACTAGACACATCTGCAATAAACAACAATTATTGAAGATTTCCAAGGCCCTTCACCTTGAAATTCACCAGACTATAGTGAAACTGGACAATCCCACGTGCAGGGCAGCGGGAGCTGGAATACATCGGGTAAAAGTGAAAAAAAGAGTTTTTCCCACCTTTCGTTTTCCGACCTCCACGGACGGGTTGGTCTTGGGGATCGCCAATTTGAAGACGGAGGATTTCCCATCGAACTTCGGGCCAAGAAAAAACCCTTTATGACCCAAACTTTTGGGAAAGAAAATGTTTTCAAGATATTTGGGATAAACCGTTGTGACAAACACCAATACAGCCTGGGACTTGATCAACACCCGATACCGCACCGTGACAATGTCACAAACCGTAGGGGCAGTATGTTCTTTGAAAAAAAGGATGCCTCCAGTAAAGCACATTCACTGAAAATGACTCTAATTAAAAACACTGATCATTTATTAACCGGAGGGAATAATTTTCAGATTTAAAGAACTTTCAAAATTTTTAATTCTGAATACTTTTCCTTTAAAAGAGATCAACATTAAAATTTGAAAAGGGGAATTATTCATTTTAGTGTTTTTTACTCCCAAGTGAATACACAGTGAAGAGGCCCTACAGCTATGAATAAAAACCATTCTTACACCTTTTGAACCCACAGCCTTGAAGCAGATTTTTCCCAAACTTGTTTAAAAAGCCTTCTGTGTTAAACTTTTTCCCTTTTATGATCTGAAGTCACGCTGTGATCCAAAAATTTTTAGCTGGGGGCAGAAAATCATCATAACAAAATAAAACGTAAAAACCCTTTCTGTGCCTAATTAATTTTTAACTTTATTTGTGAATGGACTTACTAAAATAAAAACTTTCCAATAATACAATTAAATTTAGGTTTGTGGATACCTATTTTAAAACTGTTTACTCAAAAAACAAGAAAAAAAAACTTTACCCGAAAAAATCTAAATTTGTCAAAAAAGAAAAGGAATTTTTTAAAAAAAACCTTATTTTCCCATAAATTTTAATAGGAAATTAAAATTTATCTGCCAAATTTATTGAGATTAAATCCCCTAAAAAAAAGAAATTTTTTTACACGGCACCAGAAATGAGTAATACAATTTTTTTTTTCATTCTAACCTAAACAATCTTATTTTACGGGCAGATCATTTTACCAACCAGCTGAAAGTAATTGCAAATACACTCCTAGAAAATATGACTTTTTTTTAGATAACTTTTAGCAGAATAGCATTTACCTAAACATATTATATTCACACTGCATCGTAAAAGCGTAAAAGCTTAATAATAATCACAGATCGTCACCAAACTGTTCTGGAATTGTTGGAAAACGTGAATTTTTATTTTTTAAATGCTTCTTTTCCTTCATGACCAGCTGACAGCCTTGTCCTATATGTCATATAGATATATATTATAGATTTTATTGATCAGTCAATGTATGGATGAGAAATCTCATAAAAATTTAAATGAAATGTTTGGTTAAACGATGCCGCCCACATTTTTTGGGTCCCTGTGCTGCAGATCAGCGTATAAATCCAAACCAATGTGACTTCATTTCTTATAGAGAGAATGATTTTGATTAGCGGAAGATAAAATAAATTTGCGATGTCTTTGGATGTCTTTTAAAATCTGAGTTTTAAGTGCACTAAGGGCACTAACAGACGCTGATGAGAGGATGCTCAGAGGACAGGCTGACTGCAGGTGACAGGAAAACAAAGGTAGGTGTTCCTGCGGGGGGGAGGCGGGCCCCCTTTAACAAAACCCTTTCATCGAAATGTGATAAGCCACCACTTGTTTCAAGGGGGAAAAGGAAAATTAAGGTTCCGTTTATCAACTCGTGCCATTTAGGGGGGATATTGGGGTGGGGGTGCCCTCCCCCAACCGCAGGGGCACATTTTTAGAAAAAGAAAAAAATAATACTTTATTTCACTTAAAATCAAAGCGTATGATTTTGTCTTAACTATTTTTTTAAAATTTCCCAAAAAAAATGTTTAAACCATCACTCCAAGCATCAAAAGAAAACCATCACCAAGCTAAAGCGGTTTTACGCCTTTGCTTTTAACACGGCGCCACATGACTGCTGCAGCTAACGTCCACCCACCACATCAGCAGGGGTTGCCAGATGTCACCGACTCACGTCTCCTCCCAAAAATGTTCATAAACCCCTGGATGTACAAAATCTCCCCAAAAACTGAACCAAAGTCTACTGATCCTCAGACCATTCATCTAAAAAAATAATTTTTTACTACAAGGGCCGTCCAAACTCCCAAAACTGGAAAAACCAATCTCAACAAGCTTAAGAGGGGAAACGTCACCTTTAGATGAAAAAACCCATCAGGACCGCAACATTTTTTTGGCAAAATTTTCAAACAAAATTTTTGCCAAAAAAAGAGGACATCGTAGTTTGGTTTTAAAGAAAGCTTTTATTTTTATTAAAATTTTTGTTTATTTAAAGGGTTTTAACTTTGGAAAATAAAAAAATACAGCAAAAACCAACTGTCATCAGGATGAGAAAGAAGGAAGGGCTACAACTGCATGCATCATTTAGGGATTAACTTTGGGGTTTACTGTTTCCAGCTGCTTTATTTATTACTGTCACAGGTGGGAATTCAGCCGGAGAGGAAGCGTGGGGGTTTAAAGGGGGGCCGGGCCCCTCGAATCTGAAATTGGGACCAGTCCACGGGGCTCAATATCACAATTACCGTCGAGGCTGGCCTTGGACAGATGACCTCCCTGTTCCACTGTCAGTGATCGTGTTTTTTTGTTTTTTTTTTCCAGCTACCCCAGTCACAAGTGCAGAGCAAGAATTTCACTCCGCATCGCCCCACTGCTCCCCTCCCCTTGGGGAGGCTGCCTTGTGCGGCACCCAGGGAGCAGTGTGGGGAAGGGTCTTTCCAGCTATGCAGAGTGGAAGTCTGGGGGAGGGGGATTGAACTCAGAAACCCTAGGGCCAACACTCCCCCCCAACCCACATGATTCATGTCTGCAGTGTTCTGGGGGTCACATGAGGAAACCCCCTTTTTAAATGAGCGCCGTTATTACCCGGCTGCCATGTTCTTATTTTGAAACAATTAAAGGATATATGATTGAAAAATATATTTTTCTTTTTTAGTCCTTTTTATTTCCTGCAGATTTCCATCTTTTGTTCTTTTTTTGGGATTTTCTTGCCTTGCTACCCTCTTGTCACCAAAACATCACCCTCATTCCCCGAAGCCAAACACCTGTTTTTTGCTGGCACTGAAAGGATCTGCAAAAATCTGCCAAAATTCCTCCAGTTGTCTTTAGTCGCATTCCAGAATCTTCAAGGGGTTTTTCACTGCGGGTTGGTTTTTCCCCTCACCCTTTTTATTTTGAAAACCCAAAAAAAAAAGAGAGAGGGGAGGAAAAAAGGGGGATGGGGGGAGAGGCAGAAAAAAGCGGAAGAAAAAAAAGGGGGTGATCCTGAACAAAAACTGACCTCCCAACCACGGGCCCATTAGGGAAAGGTTTCCCCATCTGACGAAGTCACTGCTGCTCTGCAGCCGACCTCAGAGCCCCCGCAAATGTACCCCCACCTGAGACACACAGAATAATGCAAGCTGAGCAAAAAACCCAAACATGCCCCCGAGCCCTAGCTCAGAGGAATAGCTAGCAATAAACCTACAAAATAATACAGCAAACTTTCCTGTTTTTCTTTTAAAGGTGTTTTTTCTTTTTTTTGAACCAATACTGAAAAAGTTTATTTTAGAACATTTATAGAAACGCAGGGAAGGCTCCCCCTCACAATCTTCAAAACAAAAAAAATCAACAAATCTTATTTCTTCCTTTAACTGCATTTAAAATAAAACACATTAAAACGGCATTTGAAAATGACATTGAACCAGTAACGTGTCACGCATGTGATTACTGCGAATCCACATTTCATTCAGGGTTTAAAAAAACAAGGGTTTACAAAAACACCTGTAAAATTTGGTTCCACATGTCAAGAATTCCCCCTGAAGCTGATTTGATTCACATATTATGTCTTAAAATGTGACAAATGGGTTTTTCTGTAAGGTTTTTTTATAAGTGAAAAAGGGATTACACAGAGCCCCATCTATTCTCATAAAATTTTTTAAAATTAGTGAACAAATATGCAATCACAAATTCCAGCTGTGATTAAAAAATGACT